GAGAAGATACTAATAATCCCTCGCAGTTCTTCTGTTTACAGAACAATTCTAATGCTATGATTAGAACTGCTTAGTCTGCATGAAGCAGTCGATTTTATCATGGAAGTTCTATATTAGCAACCAAGAATTAATCGTTTGAGGCATACTGAAGCATTATGAAGGTGATATGTTGCACTATGGGAAATCATCATACAGAGTTGCAAATGCTTTAATTTCCGTTAAACATATTACTCAAGAATTAACTCTAGGATCCTCAGTACTTGTTTAAAAATAAAATAAAATTTGAAAAACATGCATTGCAGTAAAAAATATTTAGGATATACTTTGAAAAACTATCAATGTTACCCCGTTTTACGGTAATCAGAACCATGCAGCCGGACATATTTCGGGTACCCCCGGGGAACTGGTCAGATTTTTATTGAACCAACACCTACATGCGACACATCAAATCACATGATAATTACATGATGATCATTGGTGGCCATATTAAGTACTAAAGACCACGTTGGCCAGATCCGAACATGTTCCGGATACCCCTGGAGAAATGAAACTTGAGCCTACATCCTATGAATTCCCTATGAGAATTCAAAAATAAGAACATTGGTGACCATACTCCAAGTACTCCAAGTACTCAGGACCACACTGGCCATACATGTTCCGGGTGCTCCCGGGGAGTTTCATAATTTTCCCGAATTTGATTCCCTGAGGCCAATGGAACTTCTCTGGAGTTCTCGAAACTTCCCTGAAATTATCTTCAGAACTACTCTGAAGTTCTCCTCAGAACTACTGTGAAGGTCTCCTCAGAAGTACTCTGAAAATCTCCACAGAAATACCCTGAAGTTCTCATCATAACAACTCTGAAATTCTCCTCAGAACTACTCTGAAGTTCTCCTCAGAATTATTTTGAACTTCTCCTCAGAACTACTCTGATGCTCTTTTCAGAATTATTTAGAAATTCTCCTCAGAACTACTCTGAAGGTCTCCTCAGAACTAAGTTCTCGTCGGAGCTACTCTGAAGTTCTCCTAAAAACTACTCTAGATCTTCGATGAAGATTTCAGCATTTTCCTGACATGTACGAAGTTGTCCGAATATTCTCTTGATGATTTTTAAACTTTCCCGCTAGTCGGGACTTCCCTTGTTGGAGATCAGTAAGCCATGAAGCGAGATCGGAGAAAATTTTGATTCCCCTAACAACCATTGTTAATTGAAGATCAATAAAAAATTTGTTACCCCGTTAATTTGACCACAGACAAACAGACGTAACTCTTTGAAAAAGTTTTTCTTGAATATATAGTATCTCAAAACATAGGACCTCAGTAACGACATCTCTCGGGCTTCTCTCGGAAAACAAGCTTGCTCGCCAAGTCTCAAACAATATTGATATAATGTATAGAAACGTCAAAGTGATCCGATGCCAGCGCTGCGGCGAGTAGTTCGCGGAACTGATAATATTCAAATTAATCGTTAAATTCATGAACGAAGATGCAAAATGAAGAGTTACGTCTGTTTGTCTGTGATTTGACTGTGTTTGATTCCTCTACACAGTTTTATAAGAAAATGTGTCCAAGAGTTCAAGACCAAGCGTGTGAAGAAGATTCCGTTCCGTCTTCAGGTGAGCGAACTGTCGGCGTGAGTCCGAACCAGCCGCCTGAAACATCCCTAAAGATATCTTTCCCTATCCCAGAAGTTCTTTTAACTTCTCAATAACTTAGCGTTGACTTTCCTAATATTCACGAAACTTTCCTTAAGCTCCCACAGTTTTCCTGATATTCATAACTCTTCTCCGCAGCTCTCGATATTTCTCCACGCTTCAAGGTACTTCTTCAAAGTGCTCCCACATTTTTTGAAGTTAATGCAAATTCAGACACTAATTTCGGAGAATCTCAAAACTGCAATCAAAATAATCCCGTTTAGGTGGTTTGTTTACGTACCGCATGCAGCGGAAGAGGAAAAATAAATAGATTGTGCGCACATGCATTGTGGGTAGGAATGCGGTAACGTGGCAGCGGTACAGCGGTTAGCGCGATTTTAGTACATTGCGCGTTTGCCGCTGTGTCGCTAAGCCGCTGTTATTATGTTCAAGCCTCGATCTTAGCACATATCTGGATCAACAATTGAAAAGGGCCCATCAGCATTTGTAAAAAAAACCGTTCCAAAGCCCATTCCTCACAAATCGAAGGCCGCCCACACAAACCAACACCATCATCGTGTATAGGTAGAAGTTTCCCCTATCCGATGATAGTGTTGGTTTGCGTGGGTGGCCTTCGTTTTGTGAGTAAAGGGCTTTGGAACGGTTTGCTTACAAATGCTGATGGGCCCTTTTCTATTGTTGATCCAGATATATTACAAAACGAATTGAATTTACTTTGATGCATTTTCGAAAAATTCAAATGCAGATTGCAAAAAGCTCACGTCATTTTGTGTATAATAGCAAAAAGAGTAGAATGACGCAAGCTTTTTGCAATCTGAAATAATACGTCGAAAAAAACTACATTTGAATTTTTCAAAAATGCATCAAAGTAAATTGAACCTTAAAAGGGCCGAACCCAATGGGGGCGGAAGCGGAACGGCAACGGCAAGCGGCGGCAAATATAATTTTTGTTTGCATGCAAGTTGATAAGATAGCTCACAATGAAGGTGGACTGGCAAAAGCGGAATTGTACTAAATCGTGCTTTTTTCAAAATAATCAAAACAAGCGGCAGCGGCAAGAACGAAAACGAAGTTCAAAGTGAAAAAAATTGATCCATCTGAGAGTGGTTGTGAGAGTGATTCGGTATTTGTCGAAGATTTTAGTTTGAAATTGATTAACTGCATAAAAAAGCATTCCGCGATCTATGCCAAATCGTCGAAAGAGTTCCGGAACTCCGGAAAAAAAGACAAAGCTTGGCGTGAGATGCAGATCAGTGGTAAGAAAATGTGAAATCTCTGTTTTTCATTTGTATTATGTAGTATTTATTTTGTTTGTTTTGTAGAAACGGAGGCCAAAAAGAAATGGAAAAATGTGAGGGACCGGTTCGTGAAAGAAAACCGTAAGGTTAATAAAACATCGGCATCCGGAGCAGGAAGCGACGATGTGTACAATTGTAAGTGGCCGCTCTACAATGAGCTGATTTTCTTGGAGAGCCACTGCGAATTTCGGTCGTAAGTTTTTTTTCAAACTTGATTTTATATTGTAAAAATGTAATAGATTACGGTGTTTTCCAGCACCGTTGGTGTTACCGCGAGGCAATTAATTTCAAACCAAAACCATAAGATACTCACAGTTGCATCCCGTTTGCATAGCCCTAGCTGACGTTGATACCAAGGCCAAGAATATGAAATGAAAAGTAGGGCAAAAGGAGCGAGAGCTCGTTTTACATAATCTAACTGCAGTATTTACTTAGGAACGTTTCTGCGTTCAAGTAGGATAAACACGCCCACGCATGACATGCTTGCGCATCTAGGTTATGTTTAGCTTTCCCTCTCTGTTTATCCTTAACGAAGGATATAATTATTATGTTTAAACGTTACAAATGTCTCATTCTTATTTGTAGAGCCATATCAGATCTGAGTTACAAAAATAAATAAACTTACAAGATATCTGAGAAATCCCAGATCTGAGAGGGCATAGTATATAAGGTCTAAACAACACAAATTTACCCTTTCAAGGGCGATCGGAATCCTAGCTTATTAGAATAGGCAAATTAGGTTAAAGTTCGGTATTGAAAGGGATATGTTAAACCCTGGACAAATCATGTAAAAGTTTTACATAATTATAAGTTGCTAATGCAACACGTAGCCGTAAGATCACTTTGTACAATTTTGTTGAATAAAATTAAGTTTCGTAGGTTACTCCAGATTCTTCTCTTTTTGAATCCGAAAGAACTTTCGGCCTAGAAGTGAAAACTTCTCTCCTTAACCGGAGAAAAAAGTAGCTCCTAGAAGAACTCTTGACTTGGAAGTGAAAACTTCTCTCCTTAACCGGAGAAAAAAGTAGCTCCTAGAAGAACTCTTGACTTGGAAGTGAAAACTTCTCTCCTTAACCGGAGAAAAAAGTAGCTCCTAGAATCGAGAAACAGTGTCTGATCTAGTAAGCGAAAGACTCTCCCTAACCGGAGAAGAAAGTAGCTTTTGGCGGCGACAGTTGGTAATTACCGTAGACAAGAACCTACGCCGACAGAAGAACAATCGGGTACAGAGCCACTCGTAGAATAAACTTTTATTGAGGAAAACTGGGAAACCCAAGCGGCCAACGAAACGGTTGAAAGTAGGGTCCAAAGGTAGTCGAAGAAAAGAAAAACAGATATCATCGACGCCCGGATCAATACGATTCTAGACCAAGTTGAAGGCATGGTGTCTGATCCGCAAGGCGGACGCCATGAAGCTTTTGCTTCATACTTAACATCTCGCTTAGAGATGCTTCCTCTAAATGTACAGAAATTCTATGGATTTTAGAGCACATCTCTGAACTCCAGGAAAAATTTGTAGACTTCAGGGAATACCACACGAAACGATGCTAGCTGGGAAACATTCCTCTACCTGGTGGTGTTATTATTTTTCATGAGTGAGCTTTTATTTGCGAGAAATCTATGGCTAAAGCCATTGTTTACAAATGCAATTACGCCCCTTTGAAATGTTGGCACTGAACTTTGCTTTTTAATTGGCGTTGAGCGCCATGTATTAGGTATAGGAAAAGGGTGTGACGAGGGGGTGGGGTTATTACTTTCTTGCGTTACATAATATATAAACGGGCTCTTACCGGTCATCTTCCAGGCATGGTAGAAACCCTTCAGAGTAACCCCACTTTTTACACTTTTGACTCGAATTCAACTCAGTTACTGAGTTACTCTCATTTCATCAAGATTTTAGTACATCAAATATTCCTATCCCCCACTGAAACCGAACGATGACATTTCTCGCTGTCAGTGTTCCATCCACCGCTTTCTCGTCATTTTCGTGAATTTTCTGCATTCTCCTCGTTTCTCTTTACTCGTGCTGTTGCTGCTGCGTGTGCATTGCACCACATTGTGCACGAAATAATCGAAAAAGTTGGCAAGAAAAGTGCTTTTGCCTGCCAGTATTTTTGTGTTAATAATCGTCTAAATTTGTCAAGATGCCACCCAAAAAGAAGGGCAGTAAAAAGAACCAGGATTGGGACGATGACGAACCCGAACAGCAGCAGCAGAAGGTGGTAGCCGATCCACCAAAGTCGTCAGGCAAGAAGGGCAAAACGAAAGCTGTCAACGTGGATTCCGACGAGGATGTTCCAGCCAAGGGCAAAAAGGCTGCGGTTGCAGCCGCTCCAACTCCTGCCAAGAAAGGTGCAAAGGGTAAGAAAGGCAAAGGAAAGAATGACGATTGGAGCGGTGACGACGATGATAGTGGAAAGGAACAGCTGAAGCTAGGAAAGGGTACCGGCAGTGATGGGGAGGAGGACGATGAGGTGAAGATTGCGAAACCAGCTCAGAAAAAGAAGCAAGCTGCCAAGGGGAAGAAGGGTAAGAAGGATGACGATTGGTCCGATCGGGAAGAGAAGGAGATCAAGCTGGATGCGAGCTCGGACGAGGACGAAGAAGAGGAGGAAGTTAAGATGGTGAACAACAAAGCGGGTAAGAAGAAGGGTAAGGCTGCGAAGGTGGTTAAGAAGGTTTCTTCGGAGGAGGAGGATGAGGAAAGTGAAGAAGAGAGCGAGGAAGAACCGGTGCCCGTTCCGTTGAAAAGTGGAAAAGGAGCCAAGAAGGGTGCGAAGGAAAGTGAACCGGAACCACTGAAAGTTAAGGAACCTGAACCAGCGAAGGTTGAAGAACCTGAACCAGTAAAGGTTGTAGAACCTAAACCAGTGAAGGTTGAAGAACCTGAGCCAGAACCCGTGCCCGTTAAGAAGGAATCGAAGAAGGATGTCAAGAAGGAGAAGGTTCCAGAGCCTGTAGTTGAACCTGAACCAGTGCCGGAACCTACACCCCAAGACGAAAAGAAGGAAGATGCAGCAGAAGAACTGACCGATATGGTTGAAGGAATGGCCATTGGCAAAGAGAAGAAACTCACGCATAAGGAGAAAAAGAAACTGAAGCAGCAGGAAGAGTTTCAGAAGCAGATGGAGGCCATGACTCGCAAAGGAGGTCAGGGTCATTCCGATTTGGATAGCAACTTTACAATGTCCCAAGCGCAGAAGAGTGGCAACCAAAGTAAGCACTTGGATCATGCCGTCGACATTAAGATTGAGAATTTCACCATCTCAGCCAAGGGAAATGACCTCTTTGTGAATGCAAACTTGCTTATTGCCCATGGACGCCGTTACGGTTTGGTAGGCCCCAACGGTCATGGTAAAACTACCCTGCTTCGTCACATTGCTAACCGTGTGTTTGCGATTCCTCCGAGCATTGATGTGCTTCTTTGTGAACAGGAAGTCGTCGCAGATGATACTTCCGCTGTCGATACGGTTCTGAAGGCGGACGTCAAGAGAATGACCCTTCTGAAGGAATGCAAAGAACTCGAGGATGCGGTGGAGTCTGGTAAGATCGAATTGCAAGATCAGCTTCAGGAAGTGTACAACGAACTGAAGGCAATTGGAGCGGATTCAGCGGAACCACGAGCACGTCGTATTCTGGCCGGTTTGGGTTTCTCCCGTTCCATGCAGAATCGTGCCACCAAGGCCTTCTCTGGAGGTTGGCGAATGCGTGTTTCCCTCGCCAGAGCTCTCTTCATTGAACCGACCCTGCTGATGCTCGATGAACCTACTAACCATCTGGATCTGAACGCCGTCATTTGGTTGGACAATTACCTGCAAACGTGGAAGAAGACCCTGCTGATCGTATCCCACGACCAGAGTTTCCTGGACAATGTGTGCAACGAAATCATTCATCTAGATAACAGGAAGCTTTACTACTACAAGGGTAACTATTCCATGTTCAAGAAGATGCACGTGCAGAAGCGCAGGGAAATGATTAAGGAATACGAGAAGCAGGAGAAGCGCATCAAAGACCTTAAGGCTCACGGACAATCGAAAAAGGCAGCCGAAAAGAAGCAAAAGGAGAATCTGACCCGCAAGCAGGAGAAGGGCAAGACAAAGGTTCAGAAAACGGAGGATGATGATGGGCCGGTGGAGCTGCTATCGAAACCTAAGGACTACATTGTCAAGTTTAGTTTCCCGGATCCACCACCGCTGCAGCCACCGATTCTGGGATTGCACAGTGAGTATCGCGAATTGCCCATTATTGCTCTTATTAGATTTTCAATCATCTCTCCAATTTCACTCTTTCAGATGTTAACTTCAACTTCCCTGGTCAGAAACCACTGTTCATCGAAGCGGATTTCGGCATCGACATGAACAGTCGTATCGCCATCGTGGGTCCCAACGGAGTGGGAAAATCCACCTTCCTCAAGCTTCTGGTGAGCGACCTGGAACCGTGTACCGGCGAAGTCAGGAGTAACCATCGCCTTCGGATCGGTCGTTTCGATCAGCATTCCGGTGAACATCTGACCGCGGAGGAAAGCCCTGTTGAATATTTGCAACGATTATTTAATCTGCCGTACGAAAAGTCACGCAAAGCTCTTGGAACTTTCGGTTTAGCCAGTCATGCCCACACGATCAAGATGAAGGATCTTTCCGGTGGCCAAAAGGCTCGTGTCGCGTTGGCAGAACTGTGCCTAAACGCACCGGACGTGCTCATTCTTGATGAACCTACCAACAACTTGGATATCGAATCGATCGACGCCCTGGCGGAAGCAATCAACGAGTACAAGGGAGGAGTCATCATCGTTTCCCACGACGAACGGCTCATCCGAGAGACCGAATGTTCCCTGTACGTAATTGAGGATCAAACCATCAACGAGGTGGACGGAGGCTTTGACGACTATCGAAAAGAAGTTCTGGACAGCCTGGGAGAGGTCATCAACAACCCCAGCATATCGGCCAATGCCGCCGTGCTGCAGTAAGCAAAACATCAGCTATTGTTATACTCGTTCATTACCCCTTATCTATCTATTTTTTGTATAATTAATTATTCAATAAAACGCTCCAACTTAGGTAATCCTAATTGAGTTTAGCACCTCCCTCTGGTGTTTGGTTGCCCGGTGAAATTCACTCCTGCTAGAATACTTGTGTTCACTTACCGGCTTCTTCCACGGTCGATCCTTGCACCCGAACCGCAGCTGTTGACTCTTCTTCCGTCCTCCAAATCCGCCTCCCAGCCGACGAGGCTTCCACCCCTCCAATCTTCGTTCCCACTCTTCATCCACAAGAAGCTCCTTGCCTTCGATCGTCTTTCCATGCATTTCGTCTATGGCCTTCAACGCACTCTTCCGGTCATTGTACTCCACAAATCCGTACCCCCGGGACAACCCCGTAACGATATCCCGCACCAATCGACAGCTCACAATCGTTCCAAAACGTTCGAATAACTCCCGAAGCCGATTCTCGCCAACCGAATGTGCCAGGCGGCCAACGAAAATCGTATGCAGCGGCTCACCGGCAACTTTGTGGTTCGGTTTGTAGCTGCAATTCATGGCCCGGACCAGAGCGCGATCATGCGGAAAATCTTCTTTTCCATCGATTGAACCCACCCGCACCGGATCATACACGTCCCTAGCGTAGCGGCTCCACGATTTCGACGACGGTGACCGATAGGAATGCTCCTCCTCCGACGACATTGAATTTCACCGGAATTATTCACAAAACCAAAAAAAAAATACCGAGCGAGAATGTTTTTGTTTACATATGTGCTGATTAAAAAAAATCAAGAGCCACATGTGAAAAGGGCATCAAGGTATTAATAAACAAACCTTCGTACGACCTTTTATCGCCAACCGAGGGTTGCCTATGCAAACCAACAACATCATCTGCAAGGGAAAAGTTTTCCCTACCCGGTGATGTTGATGGTTTGCATTGGTGTCATGACGAGAAAAGGGCATAAAAAGGTTTGTTTACAAAAAGCTTGATGCCCTTTTCACATGTTTAATCTAATTTTCTTCGAATGAAATCCGTGAACGTGATCCGCTATATGTCAGATTATAAATACACACTTAATTCAGGTTACATTCCGTTCGCGCAACCATGGCACAACTGTATAATTTTAGTACTCATCGAATTTCCTACCCCTGCCGGCGAATCATCAGCGCAAAGCAAAATCCACGTCAACTGTCACTTTTGTGCAACGCGAAAAAAACACTGCGCGACTGACCGCATCAGTAGTTTCTTTTCTCATCGTTTTCATGCAAAGAAAGGAGCGTTTGCATCCAACAAAAACCGCTAAAAGAAAGTGAAAAAACCCTTCTACAGTGGTGTGTATTGTTCTTGTTATTCGAGGTGATTTGCAGAAAAAACCAACCAAACCCAACCTGTTCAGATACGCACGCCCCGATTAACTATGGAAGCCCTCCAGAAGCATCTTGGCCAGATCAAGGTCCCCTGCGCGATCGACAACGTCTACAAGGAGGAGTGCGTGTACAGCTTCGACAATCCGGAATCGCCGACGGGACTGTACGTGAGTTTGACTAGTTTTCTCGGCTTTGGAGAGGAACACGCTCGGGCCTATGCGGAGAAGACCGGGAACAAGGTGTTCCTACATCTGAAGCGGGACAAGATCGAAATTGCCAACGAGCCATCGCAGGAAGGTCCGGAGAAGAAGATTACCCGACTGGCGATTGGGGTAGAGGGAGGTTTTCCCTCGGAACAGAAGAAATACGAGTACAAGGAACAGTACAAGGTGGTGGTGCTGCCGGAAGCAGTGAGCTTCGAGTATCCGAATCAGGATTTACCTCTCCTGGTGCAGAATTCGGTAGAAGCGCTGTTGAAGGCGGAGGCGGCATCGGTGAAGCGGGAACGCGAACAGCTGACCGGAACGTGGGACGGGGAAGTGCGACAGGTTTCCCAGCATGCGGAGAATCTGCTGCAGTTGAGTAACGGTAGGAAGATTCCACCGACGGGGTGGAAATGCGAGCGCTGTGATTTGAACAGTAATCTGTGGCTAAATTTGACGGATGGTTCTATCCTCTGCGGTCGGAAGTTCTACGATGGAACCGGAGGTAATGACCATGCATTAAATCACTACCGGGAAACGAACTATCCGTTGGCTGTGAAACTAGGAACGATTACGGGCGAAGGTAAGGGGGATGTGTACAGCTACCAGGAGGATGATATGGTTGAGGATCCATACCTGGTAAAGCACCTGGCCCATTGGGGAATCAACGTGGGTCAATTGGAGAAGACGGAAAAGTCCATGGTGGAGTTGGAACTAGATCTAAACCAGAAAATCGGCGAGTGGGGAATTCTCTGCGAAAGCGCCAGCAATCTGAAGCCGATTGCAGGTCCTGGTCTCACCGGAATGCGAAATCTAGGAAACTCCTGCTATCTGAACAGCGTAATGCAGGTGATGTTTACGATTCCGGATTTCACCCGTCGATTCGTGGATGGAGCGAAGGAAATTTTCGATAGCTTCCCTGCTGATCCTGCCAATGACTTCAATGTGCAGATGGCGAAACTGGGTACGGGTCTATGGAGTGGAAAGTACAGCGTCCTGACGGAAAACAGCATGGACACGGTGGATTCTTCCTCTGGCATTGCTCCTACTATGTTCAAAGCATTGATCGGTAAGGGTCATCCGGATTTCGCTACAAAACATCAACAGGATGCTCAGGAATTCTTCCTGCATTTAGTCAACACCCTGCAGAAGCACTCTCGAAATCAGTCGGATCCCGCTGATGCCCTCAAATTCAACATCGAAGACCGCGTCGAATGTTGCTCCAGTGGAAAGGTGATGTACAACCGTCGAGACGAGTGGTGTCTTCCGCTGCAAATTCCCCTCAATCTGGCCACCAACATTGCCGAGGTGAAAAAGTACGAAGAAGATCTGGCTCTTGCCGAGAAGGAAGGCCGTCGCTTAGATCCGGAGGCTCTGGTCCGTCCTAAGATCCCCTTGAGCGCCTGTTTGGACACGTTCGCCCAATCGGAAACGGTGGAACAATTCTACAGCACTGCCATCAACGCCAAGACCACCGCTAAAAAGACGACCAAGCTTGCCACCATGCCGGACTTTCTGATGCTGCACCTCAAAAAGTTTACCCTCAGGGAAGATTGGACCTCGGTCAAACTGGATGTGGCCATCGACATCCCGGAAATTCTCGATTTGGAAACCCTCCGAGGAACCGGCAAGCAACCGAACGAAGAAGAACTCCCGGAACTGGTTGGCAAAGCCCCTTCGCCACCCCCAATGGATCCGGTCGTGCTGGAACAACTGATGGTCATGGGCTTCCCACCGGAGGCATGCAAACGGGCTATTTTCTTCACTAAAAACTCAGGTGCCGAAGCGGCTACCCAGTGGATTATGGAACACATCGCCGATGCCGATTTTGCTGCACCGTTCATCCCTCCGGGAACCGACACCGGAAAGGCTTCGTCCGGCGCCGCGGCCTTCGTACCAGATCCGATGGGACTGGAAATGCTGATGGGGATGGGATTTACCGACCTGCAAGCGAGCAAGGCTCTGAAAGAAACGCAGAACAACACCGAACGGGCCGTGGATTGGATCTTCTCTCACACGGATGAACTCGCTAGTATTGCTATGGGAGGCGATGAGACTGAAGCAGTGGCGGAACCGAGCGCCTCAAGCGCTTCGCAGTACCGCGACGGAACTGGAAGTGAGTCGATAATTTCGTCTACATTCAACCCCATTAATTCCCGTCCTCTATTTTCGCAGAATACAAACTGGTGGCATTTATCTCCCACATGGGTAGCTCGTCCCAGGTCGGTCACTACGTGTGCCACATCCTCAAGGACGGCCAGTGGGTGATCTTCAACGACAACAAGGTGGCCATTTCGCAGAATCCGCCCAAGGAACTGGGCTACCTTTACCTGTACCAGCGAATCTAATCCTCGCAGGGCAGGTAATTGTACTACTGGTCTCCTTTCTTAACTTGTGAACTATCATCAATTTTTCAAATTCAACCGAGTAGCGGCGTAGTGTTTTGATTGAACTGAAATAACCTTACGATTACAATAATAATTTTCCGGAAGCTAGTTTAAGTGCTAACTTATAATCTACTTGTCTCTTGAATGAACATGGCAAACGAATTAAACTGGAAGTGAACTTTTTTTGAACTGAACTACATACCTACTATTCTGGATTGATGCACAGCGCTTCCAATAAACTGTGCACGCGTAGTGAAATGGTTTCGAGCACCTTTGGATTTGATGGAAATGTGAGAAATGTCCTGCTTTTTATTATTCTTATTTTCAGTTTGAGATTCAAAGACTTCTAGGAGAATGTCCAATAAATGTCAGGTAAGTTAAATTACATAATAGAGTACATTGGTTAATCATTTTTCTTTATTAAATGTATATTTGAAAACACATAGGTCCTTTTGAAAGCTTAATCTTGAGTAAAAGCGGTCTCTTGACCTGTTGAAAATACAAGACCCCTCATACCGAAGACATGAGAGGATTGAGCTAGTTTCTGCTCGTTTTCGAAATAATTGCTTAACATTAGGGAAAGTGGAGTAAGATGGTCACATAGGGCAAATCGAGCATCATCTCTAAACCATAACTTTTGACAGTTAATTTGGTAGAAATAATATCCAGATTTCCACACTCGGCAAAGGCGTCCTGTAAGTATGAAGAAATGTATCCTTCACTGTGGTTTTTGACACTAACTGGAAAGTTGTTCCATTTCCCTCTGTTCCTGGGAGAGAGAGAGTTATTTTTCATCAATTCGACAGTGAGCATGCATAAGGGCGAATACGCGATGATCGATTCTCTTCATCGATTTTCTCTTCGCATTGCTACAGCTAAGCGAAACAATTTTCTAGAATTTGTTCAATGTAGAGTAGTAACAGGTTGTATTGGCTATCAAAAGCAACAACAAACGCACCGAGAAACGTTAAATCTAGCGAATTATTAACAAAAGAGAAAAACGACGAAGAGAATCGATCATCGCGTTTACGCCCTTATGCTGGGTTTAGACTAGGCAAGTCAAATGATCAACTCAGTTGAATTCAATTGGCTTGAAAAGTTGAGCCTGGTTCAACTTTTTTCAATTCAAGTGAGTTGATCAAGTCAGTTGAATGGCATGGTTTACACGTTCAATTCGCGTTCAAGTCAGTTGAATTCAACTGACTTGATCAATTGAATTGCCCTATCTAAACCCAGCTTTATGCATGCTCACTGTCGAATTGCTTCCCGCCCGACCGCCAACCATGCGTGCAAACCAACACCGTCATTTTCAGGGAAACAACATTAATTTGCCAGAAGCAAAACCCGCGTGAGCAAAATTGACGCACCACAACGTGCTTAAAGATGACTGGATCAGGCGATTAACACTCCGAACACGATGCCTCAGGTAAAATGTGTAACGGCAAATTGGCAATGTTTGAAAAATCATTGCTCGGCAATTCATCGGTCGATTTTAAATGTATAGTTACCGAATAAATCTTTAAAGTATGCAGTTTCAACTTGCGTCAGTAAATTTGGAGTTTGTCAATAAATGTTTGAGCTATGATTTAGCAAACATTGCAAGTTTGCCGTTACACATTTTACCGGAGGCATCGTATTCGGAGTGTTAACCAATCACGTGTCTGCAGTCAACCAGCAGCCAAGATATAAGACCAGTGTTGCGTGTTTTTCCTTTTCGCAGATGATACCGCAATAGTCGTCAAAGGCATGGTGGGTATATAAATGGTGATACAGCTTTGTCACTATATAGGCGAGGAGGTCGCGGGGGGGGAAAAATGCGGTTTTAGAGCAAATTGTAAACAAACTCGGTCGCTGTCCCATACAAAAATCCAACATGGCTGAATCACGAATTTGACACATTAGAACACCTATATGTAGCCACCTTGGTCAAAGGAAGGATGCCTCGCGAAATAACGAACAAACTTTGACGATGCCTTGACGCCTTATTATGCCACCACGTGGAATGCCAAATGCCTCCAAAACACAAACAATCATGTTCCTCCATCGGCAATCACCCAAACTTAAACCGGTTCCATCTTGTAATGTAATCACCGACAAACCGACATGAATGATTATAAAAATTACCATGAAATTTTTGCTCAAAGCACACTATTGACATCTGTCTTCGTGTTCGTGGAAAACGTTTATCAAAGCCACGAACACGCGTGAAAAAGTTATGATTTGGTTCGTGTCTGATCTATTCTGAACTAAATAATTTGTATCTAGATAAAAAATTCTCGGTTTTGACAGATCGGATCACTGCAAATTTGAATCGGCCGTTAGAGATTTTTGAGCAAAAGATCTTCAAGTTTCATGTCGGTTTGTCGGTGCTGTAATCATGGATGGCACAAGGGTTGAGTAGACTGCCGAAGTTACTTATCTCGGGATGTTGTTCGATGAAATGCACCTTTTCCGCTCGCATGTAGAGAAAACTGTAGTCAAGTGTTCTGTCTTGGTTAGGTGGTTGACCCACCAACAAAGTTGACCGCCGAATTGAATCATCTAAACCAAGAACTCCGAACGCAGTTCATTTGCTTCGCAGCATGTCATCATTGTTGGAGAAACGTTTCAGGTGGGAAGCCTAGCGGTCATCAAAAAGGATCTCTTTCATCAGCGTTATTGATCACACAAACAATTTATTTACTTATAATATTTACAGCATAAATCACGTATTGCCGTCTACCACAGTAAATCAGCGAAATTGGTTACGTAATACGTTGCTCGCTTTTGAACCTCTTCTCGCACTGCATTACCTCCGTATCCTAAAAAAAAACGTCAAAGTTAATTCACCCCAACGTACATTCAAAATGCCTTACTTCAGACTTAGGAGTTTTAACATGTTATAAAGGTAGGTAATCTTGCTGACATTTTCCTTGCAGATATTAATTATTAAGCGTTATTGGGGCTCTAGTCTGGACAACCTAACAAATCATTTTAGCTGCAGACTAGCTTATACCGGAAAAACGTAGCTGCAGCTAAAATTATGTGTGTTCCCGTACTTGCTTTTATGTAAGATTATGTACAGCAAAATCTTATTTTCTTACAGCAACTTACAGAAAGCTGCAGCACTCTACAGCAAAAATAAATATTTTTAGTTGGAAAGACGAATACACCTACCAATGAAGAAATCTGCAGGTGGACTAGCTTCCAAATCGGTCATGCCGTCGCCGATCATTGCCACCACTTTGTTGCTGTTGAATCGATCTTTGATGATATTGATTGCCTCGCCCTTGCCTCCGGATTTGGAAGTGACCTGACTGGTGTCAAAACCAGCGTAGCTTCCTGAAATATCGCAAAAACCAATGTTCGTCCAATTCAAACAACCCAGAAACTATGGCAAAAACCTACCGCTAAAGTGAAAATACAACTTGTTGGCAAAGAGATTGCACAGCGGTACCTCCAGCGCATCCGCCACCGGTTCGATCAGACAGTCAAATCCGCCACTGACCAAATAGATCTCGGCACTGTTCTGTCTCAGCTGGTCAATCAGTTCCCGTACGCCGGCGGAAACCGTGCTCGGATGGGTCTTGAGGAACTCGCGAATCTGCCTTTGCGATGGTTTGATAATGTCCAGGCGTCGCTTCAGGGCCTCCTGGAAGGTCATACTGCCGCCCATGGCTTCTTTGGTTCTGTGAATGCATACCAATCAGCTTAATTTCTTCCTGCAAACAGTACCGCATATGCACTTACAATGCAGCAACTTCGGCTCCTTTGCCGCAGAATTGCGCCAACTCGTCGATACCTTCCTCGGTGATGATCGTCGAGTCCACGTCGAAGCACACGATCTGTGCCTTCTTGAGCATCTCGCGCGCTTCCTGTGTCCGCTTGGCCAGTTCGGCCGTTGTGCTCCGATCGTTGGTCATTCTGCTACTGTTGGCGTGTGACGTGTGCTTACCGTTACTGATGGATTTGAAAATTGGCGCCGCCGGGAGACTGTTCCTCCGGGGAGTTATCTCTACGTGACTGTTGGCTCCACCGATCGCGCCGGAAGCCGTGACCACACTGGCCACCGTATGATGTGAGCTTTCGGCGGCGGAAATGGCCACCAGGCTGCCGAATAGTGCGCTGTTCAGAAAGATGGGTTGAAAGTGAGATCTAATTAATTCATAATAGATTTGCAGTTTAGTGCACTTGAGTGAGGACTTTAATTTTTTTTTATTAAAAAGTGAATAATGTACAAGATTCTCATACAATAATGGTTTAAGCTCACTAACTGTGGAAGTGCTCATACTCCAGTCGATTACTCTGACTTTTTCACATAAGAAATTATGTGTTTTATATCTGAAATCCAGCGGCAGTAGTGAAATGTATTGTCAATTCAGTTCAGATAACGAGTTCCGGGGGGAAATGGGGCAAAATGTACCAATTCAATGGTCTTCACAATGTTATATTATTTGTAGCTGATTTCCTTGGCTTTCTATAATATCACTCAGTGCATTTTAAGGCAGTAGATCACCAGCAGTCGCAAATAAAGCCGAACAACTTTTAATTTCGGTAGTCCAGTGGCATTGGATTCCCCAGTCTTTTTTTTACACGAATAGGTATCACTCTACTCCTGAAACCAGCGGCACGAAATAAGTGCGGTTCTAGGTCAGTTATTACTCATTGTGCAATGCATGAATTTGTATATTGTGTTGCGAGCTTAATTATACAATGATGTACTCTCTATGCCCAGGAAAGTCGAGAAAATTTTCAAACCGGAAGATTTCCTCGACCGGACCAAGAATCACTATCAACACTATCACCCGCTTATCAGACCCGCTTTCTCCAACTAGTTATTCCATTTTTTTCACTGGTCAGAATACATCAGGAAGAAGAAATCGCTAACTTAATTTTAAGTTACTCGGCTCCGTATAGTTTTCTAAAGACGATTGAACTTGTAGAATAAACAAATTCTTGTTTTTTATTCTTTTGGCGTTTCTTCTTGATCGCATTTCAAGCTCATTGCTTATAGCATATTAGCTTATTGTGTGCTCTCAAACTTAATGTTCTAAATGCACTTCCACAGTTATTAATTGAGAGCTTTCGAAGCATGTACTTTTGTTGGATTAGTATAATTGTGTGGTAAGTACAATCATACTCTATTGCCCATGGCGTCGAGAAATTTTCCAATCCGAAAAAAAATCCTAGACCGGAACCGGGAATCGAACCCAGCCGCCTCCAGCATGATCTTGCTTTGTAGTTGCGCCTTTACTAACTAAGGGAGGTTTTATGTTGGGTTTAGCCAAAATAAAAAGCAGTATTAAAGAAGAGTGGAAAGGAATTCTGAACTTAACATATTTCACTCAGTTAAATCAAAACAGAATTTACAGTTCTTATTCTCAACATATTAACTACTCAACTGATAGTTTTACGAAACCTTTTTCGACTCGATTATTATTGTTAGAAGAAAAAAAATGTGTTTACAATGAACAACAATCGACAGAAGGAGATTACATTGTTACAGAAGCACATTGTAACATTGTTATCATATCGATGTACAACGTTAACCTCGCTACAAACATACAAGAGCTATCCGTAATTTTACAAGCCCAGTTTATCGATTGATTTTTCAACCGTAAACTTTCCATTTTCGGAAACTTTATTTCAGGATCAATATATGAAATAGTCTTTGGGTTCCAATACTTGACAATGTATTCCAAGTATTTGTTTTCAGTTCATATATTTGATGAAATGACGTTCCAAGTTAGTGCTAATTTTAAACTCTAAATCTAAAATAAAGGTAATCAACTTTTTGATGTAGGACTACGTCTTTGTCGAAGGTATGGCGTATCATTTCATCGAAGCAGCGCCGTGAAATCATGTAAGGCTTCAAACACTTATAAGCTAGAAATTTGCGGATGGATTTATATTGTTTAAGTAACATTTAAATCAGATTTGATGTGATTAGTTTTTGAAAATGTTTGCCCTATTTTGAGATTTGACTTATGTAAAACATCATGTTTTGAGGAGTTTAGCTGATGTATCTTTTATAGATGACTATATAGCGTCTAGAAAGTTGTGTGTTTTTGTTCAATAAAAAATTCGACTGAACATAGTATGCCTTGGAAAAATTAAAGCCGAAATATCGATTTAAAGGTGACTTCCATAAATAATGCTTCATATCTGAATGATAATAACACACTAGAAAATGTGTGTCTTCAGCAAAGTTTATGGAAATGATGAGTTCTACCATTTTGAAAATTTTGTTCAATTCAAGATTCAATTGAGGTTGGAAAGTAAAGCGAAAATAACCTGCAATTTCAGTTGATTTCAAACATCGCAATTTGTTGAAGTAGGTATATGATAAATATGTTTGTACATTTTTCAATATAAACATATGTTTGTAGTACGATGGAACAACAAGGACAAATGTTTTCGACCATGCGCATCTTAGTGGTTTAAAAATGTATTAGAATGAGTAATATCTCACGGAAAGCGTAATTATCATTTTATAGACCACCCACACACTTAGATTTTTTTTTTTGCCGAGATTGGCACCACCGAGCAGGCTCGGCATTATTTTTACTAAGATTTTAGCCAAATTTATGTTTGTTAGCCGAGATCTCGGCAAAATTCCCGTTTGTTAACTGAAACTCGGCTAATTTTTCACTGAGATCCAGCAAAATAGATTGCCGAGCTGCTCGGTGGTGCCCATCTCGGCAAAAAATCTAAGTGTGCACAACCGTTTTACATTGAAGATTTTCAAAATTTGCACTTTTATTAGGAATGTATATTTTTACGCTTCTGTCAAATTTGTTACATACGTCATTTGACACCCCCCCCATAGAAGTCGTATGTAACATACAGCTATGTTTTGATCAGTTGGCACCTACGACAAATAGGTTTTCGATGAAGAAATGAAACAGAAATGATGTAGCGGGCCCAAATTTTACCTTCAGGAAGAGTAAGCAAATTAGTGTCTGTTAGCCTTAAAATGTCAATTTGTTTACAGTTTTTACATATACGGCCTATTCAAAAAGCACTTTAGAAAAATCCGTACGGCAGACTTCTGCCCCACTGCGGCGTTCCGGCGGTACATTGAGCAATTAATTGAATAATTATTATAACATTTTATAACTCCGTAGCCTGATCATAATCAAATTTCTTATTCAGACTACAGAGTTATAACATATTATAATAATTATCGACATGAAAAATGATACCAAGATAGGCTTATAACATGTTATAACTACTCAGTCTGGCCAGTGCTTAATGCTACAGAGTTATCACATGTTATAGTACGTTCAGACTACAGAGTTATAACATGTTATAGCGCTATCTTGATGGTGGTTTCTGTGTTGCAATTAGTTGACAACCGTTATAACATGTTATAACTCTCCAGTCTGGACAGCGTTTTACAAGCCTATCTTCATGATAGTTTTCTTGCTCATAATTATTATAATATTTTATAACTTCGTAGTGCGAACATAGCGGCATCCACTAGTATTGAATTCAAATTGTTCATGAAGGCTAAAACGCTGGCCAGACTGAGCAGATATAACATGTTATAAAGGTTGTCAAATAATTGCAACACAGAAACCACCATCAAGATAGCTGGGGGGACGTGCTGTCAAATCAGCCTACTGATCATTCTTGTATGAAACTGGCTCCAAACGTAAACAATCGCTGTAGGTTTCTTATGGCTTGTTTACGTTTAGAACCAGTTATGTGAGGCATGCGAGGTAGGCGACGATTGTTCGTATTTGACAGCCACCTCCCCCCCTTGCAAGATAGCGCTATAACATGTTATAACTTTGTAGTCTGAACGCAATGAGCTGGATTACCGAGGTGAAGCAATCGGTTAAGTTGTGTGAGTAAAACCCTGTACGATACAAGCAAGTAGTGACGCCACTACTTGCATTTACGTAGATTTTTTGGTTTACTAATACAACCATATTTCACGATCTGCTTCACCTCTCTCTGTACCTCATTGGTCTGAACGTACTATAAAACCCTGTCCAGACTGGAGAGTTATAACATGTTATAACGGTTGTCAAATAATTGCAACACAGAAACCACCATCAAGATAGCGCTATAACATGTTATAACCATAGAGGTAACTCTAAGACTAGAGGGTCCCGAAATAACGTGCTCAACTTTTTGGCTCAGCTCTGGTACTCTCTGTAGGGTTTGCGTTTATTACTTTTGAGTAAAATATATTGACAGTGTTATAAGTTAGGAACACCTTGGCCGAAAAGGTCTTGGGAAAAAAGGGAGGACGAGTGAAAACGATCGGACGAAGGGACGTGAGAAGAGATTGACGAGGTGAAGAATAAATATTGGTTGGCGTGAAAATCTAATCGAGTGGTTTTGAACAAATATTCCGAAACTGGATCTTCTTCAGTATCTACATCTGGCGACGAGGATTACAGAGAATCAAAGGTAATTACGAATAAAATGCAGTGTTATTAAATTTGTTCTGTGATTGAAGGAAACCTGAAAAACAAAATGGCTGCTTCTGATGATTGCAATTCCGATTTTTTTCCCTATAAGGTATACCCAGGGGCGATGAAGAAGATTTATTGATGTTGTTTTGGCATGCGGAAAGATTCATGAATTTGTGTTGTCGGAGATATTAATTGAAAATAGATCGATTAGTTGGAGCCTCGGTTGGGGCTATCGATTAGTTGGAGCCTCGGTTGGGGCCACTGTGATGAAAAAAAAAAAATTAGTTGACGATGCTGTGTCCAGGAGGGGCATAGTACCGCAAGAATCAAATTATGAAAGTTGTTACCAGTGGAAGTAATGGATTGAATAGCTAATTATTTTGAACGTTTCTGCAGCTAGGGGGCTGGAAACAAGTGACTGGCTAGGGGGCCACTGTTTTAAAAGTTTCTGCAGCTAGGGGGCTGGAAACATGAAATTGAATGGCTAGGGGGCCATTGGTTTAAAAGTTTCTGCAGCTAGGGGGCTGGAAACCTGAAATTGAATGGCTAGGGGGCCAATGTTTTTAACGTTTCTGCAGCTAGGGGGCTGAAAACCTGAAATTGAATGGCTAGGGGGCTATTTTTTTTTTTAAAGTTTCTGCAGCTAGGGGGCTGGAGGCTAGACGTTAAATGGAATAGAGACAATAATTTGAAATT